TGCTTATATCAAAGCATAGAGTACAGCAAGTGTGGCATATGGCATGTGTGGAAAAGAGTAGAGCATGTGTGGGGAATATGTGGCCCTCCAGATATTGAACTGCATTTCCAATCAATCCATTTTACCAGGTGCACTGGCTAGGACTGATGGGAGCTGTGAGCTAACAACAACTGAAGGGTAAACATTCTGTATCACAGAGCATATCTGATGACACACACACACACACACACACCCATTGTCTAAGGGCAATGTAGACAAAAGAGTCATGTGTTTTATTGCTATGTTTGTTCTGGGAGAAGAAATATTTAACACAAACAGTTCCTGGAGCCAAAATCAATGCCCACCCTGAAAAATCTCTTTTACTTAAAGAGAAGAACATAAGTTCCCTTTCTTTTCCCATTCATGTAGAAAACTCCATTTTGGTTGTCAAAATGAGTGTGGGTACGCTCATTGATCTCCCAACATTTTTTAAGTTTGTTTCATACACTTTTAACTATTTTTTTTAACCATCTACAATTTCTTGCAGGTAATTTTAAAATCAGTGCCAATAAAAAATTGTGAACTAGCTTTGTATGAAGAACTTGAGTTTGATTATGCATTGGGTAGAATATGGGGGATTAATTTAATAAATGTTATTAAAAATAAAAATATGATAGAACTGATAGCATAATGCATCCATTTTTGCAAGATAAGAATGGTTTTTTACTAGTTTCATTGGATTGCATTTCATATTTGATCACTTTAGCTGTGGTTTTAATATGTGATTCACTGAAATAGATGACAGATTTATGATACTTTAAATAAGAAAACTACTTCAGTATGAAAGCTTTCACACTTTAGAGGGTACATTTTTTTGAACTGTTAAATCTGACTGCCGTTTGTAATACATTTTGAACAGTCAACCAGTTATAAATGAATGGTTCCAGTGCTTGGTCATTTCCTTGTTAGGAAGTCAGACCAAAAACTGTTATTACATTAAACATTTTACTCTAATGTTCAGCTTTTGTGAACCAATACCACCCACTGAATAGTAAAATAAATTTGTTTAAATAAGTGAAGTATTGGTTGTTAAATGGCATACTTCTTAACTAGAGTTAATCAATAAGAAATAAGAGTTGGTCTACCTTTGCAGTGATTCAGATTCACAGTGATTCAGTACATGTTTACATGTGATACTTATATCCCATGAAAAAGATGGAATAGATCTAAATGTTGTGACCCCTGGAAATATTATGCTTTGTGCTTTATCTAACAGTTGATCAAATTTGGAATAAGAAAGGTGTGTGTAAAAAATTGTCCTTGAGAAAATGTTGTTTGTACATGATGATGACCAACAGACAATGGCTCTTGCATGCGTAGGCCAAGAGCTCTAACAAGAACTCTAAACCAATCTGTAGCCCTTAGTACAGTGGGGTCTCGACTTACGAATGGCTCGACATACAAACGTTTCGACTTACGAACCGCTGTCATAGGAATATATGGACTCAACTTACGAACTTAGATTTGAGTTACGAACTCTTTTTTTTTCTTTTTTTTTAAAGCTAAGTCATCTTAGGTTAAAAGGAAAAAAGAAAAAATATCCCCCTCTAGTGGCAGAAGGCGGAATAGCAGCTTCCCATTAGTTTCTATGGATGGAAAAGAGCAGATACGGATTAAATGGTTTTCAATGCATTCCTATGGGAAATGCAGATTCAACTTAAGAACTTTTCGACCTGAGAACTGCCTTCCAATACGGATTAAGTTCATAAGTCGAACTGTATATGGAATGCTGTTTTCCAGGTGCCCCTGCCTTCAGTTGTCTTGTGGGGAGCAACCAGTGAAACAACCTTCTTAACTGTATTGCACTTCCTTTGGAACTTTCTCCCCAGAGATCAACCTGAGCAGGATTAGTAACCCAAAGTTGCAGGTCAAGGTGCCTTCCCTATTCAGACCTTAACTCTTTAGCTGAAAAAAGTCATTACTGGTTTATCGCCATAAGCGACTAAAAAGTACTTTTAGTCATAACCACGACTTCCCATCCTGAAGCAGTGCCAGATCCAGCTCAGAAATAGCCTGTACTTTGAGCAGAGGGGCATTCCACCCCCACAGATGTCTCAGGCCTTGGACCACCAATAGTCTGGCTTACCGTTGCGTATGTGACCCCATCAAAAGTGTGGAATTATCAACTTCCAGAACTGGCATGTCTCTCACTATAAACATAATCTTTTATTGTGAATTAAGCATTATCTTACTTATTTTCATCAGGCTGCCAGTGACCTCAGGCTTCTGCTCAGAACTTCCACTGCTTCACTGGTCTCATTGAGAAGCAGAAAGAGAGTTGTGTAAACAAACTGTTACTTGTATATTTATTCTGCTTTCACTCAAAATTCTCGGATGTCATATATGCTCTACACCAGCCATTCTCAACCCTTTTTTTTTGGCCATGGCCCTTTTGGCCAGGGGCCCTGTCAAACAAGGAAACAATACGAACATATGAATTGGACAGATTGGAATTCTATGAGAAACAATCTTTTATACATTAATATTTGAATATGAGCATATCCAGCTAGTGGTATAGATGGCTGCTTTTCTACATTGCAAAATAATATTTCCAATCTGTAAAGAGTGGGATCCATATAGAACTGGGCTGACAAAAGTAGACCAATGTACAATGACATATACAAAATTAAAGCTGGTGCACCAGCTGTGCCCATTCCTTGAGATGTCCAGTCTGGTCATGATGACACATGCCTTAGTTACATCTCCTTTGGGTTACAGAAAAGCTGCCTTAACATAGTATTCTGACACTTCAGCTGGTTCAAAATGCTGCAGCCAGACTGCTGACTGGCTTCAATCCAGGCTGTTTGAAAGACCATATTACCCATATGAGCCTTCTTGGCTTTTAAGATCTTCTGGGAAAGCCCTTCGCTCTGTTCCACCATCCTCCCAAGCTTGTTTGTGAGAACACAAGACAGGGCTTCTCAGTCGTTGCTCCAAGGCCTTAGAATGCTCTGCCACTAGAAGCAAGATTACCCCCCATCTCTTGTCCTTCCATCATCAGGCAAAGACCTTCCTCTTTAGGCAGGCTTTTAAGCAGTATGTGTTTCAGGAATGCTTGTTTATTGACATACAGATTTTTAAATGTGTTAAAATTGTTTTTAATCTGGGTTTTTAATCTTGATATACATTTAATTATTTTTAATATGATATTTACATAGTATTTTAAAAACTGTTGTAGCTTTATAGTTTAGTTGTTGTGAACCACCTTGTGTCCCCTATGGGGAGAAAAGTAGCATATAAATAAAATAAATCAATGGCCTTTTGCATCTCTTGTTTGTTTCATTCATTAGGGTGTTTGCCATTTGTCAAACGTGTGGTGTGAGATCTATGTAGCATGCCTCATTTAGCTGGAGAGGAGGTTGTCTTGCTATGAGAGCAATGTCAGATTGAGTAGTCCCAAGCAATCTGGTGTATGACGTTGCAAGCAGGTTCTTATTTAAACTTCCCAGAAGTATAGTGATGGGGGGGGCACAATATGGGAATAATATGTGTTCCCAAGGTAGGAGATATATAGACTAATTGTTCATTGAAACAATTCATTTATTGAAGCCTTCCAAATTAAAAGAAAATACACCAAAGGTTCCACAATAAATGATCACAATATATTAAACTTCACCTGCAGATAGAAGTAGATGCTCAGCATATCAAAGCATCATAAAGTGTTCCAAGCCTGGCAATTGCACTCTAAATTAATTAAGTCCTTGTAGTGAATATGCTTCCAAGTGATGTCCCTGGAAATTACAACCAAGTCCTAGAACGACCAAACACCGTTTGTTTTTCAAGCCCAGCATCTGTTGGCCTGAGGGAATTTCTCTGTTGTTTCTCTGAAGAGGACAACTTGAAATATTCTCATGCATGCTTAGATACATTTTTATCTGCCAGCAGGACTGTGTCTTTGCAATGATTCTGGAAGGATAAGGAAAAGTGCAAAACAAAGACATACGGCTGCCTGTATTTCACAGCTTTCATTCTGGAAAAAAGAAGGATAAGGAAAAGTGCAAAACAACGACATACTGTATTTCACAGCTTTCATTCTGGAAAAAGACAGCAGTGTGTTTGTGAAAACAGGGGAATACCTAATAAGTTTTCAGGCAGAGTTAGGGGAGATTAGATTTTGGACTACAGCTCCCAGAATTTCTCAGCCAGTACGGATACTGGCCATACTGACAGGGAGGTTCTGGGAGTCCTAGCCCTCCAAAAGTCTAATCTCAGGGGTTACTGGTCAAGATTTCCAATGATCATAACATGGGTTGGTTATGGTTTCAGTGATTTTCTCAGCATCTCAGCTTTTCTCACAATTAGAAGCAAACTAAATCATCAGAATAATAAACATTAAGTATCAAGCAGCCTAAGAAGCAAGAATTACAGTAAGACATTTGTATCCGCACGGGATCCATTCTGCAATCTACTGTATATGCCTGAAACCGCAGATAGTAGTAAATCTATATAAAGATACAAAGGAACAGGACAAAGGCTTACTCCCTTGTATGTTGTACATTTTGTTGTTGTTGTTTAGTTGTTTAGTCATGTCCAACTCTTTGTGACCCCATGGACCGAAGCACACCAGGCTCTCCTATCTTCCACTGCCTCCCAGAGTTGGGTCAAATTCATGTTGGTAGCTTCAGTGACACTGTCCAACCATCTTGTCTTCTGTCGAGATGGTTGTACATGTTGTACATAGGGTTGCAATAAACTGTAGACAACTGAAACCACGGATACCGATCCCATGAATATAGGTGTTCTATGTATACAAACTGTACTGGTCATAGGGGGGGGATGCCAATGCAATATTTAGAATTCTTCTGTGTGTATGTTTTAAACACAGAGTATGTAGACTATTGCTTATTTGCTAATCTTTCAATATATTGTAACCTTTGTCTTTTTGAATTTCAGACTAATCAATGAATCTCTGAGGGACCAGCTGCTTGTTACAATCCAGAAGACTTTCACCTACACTCGGACCCAGGCCCAGCATCTCTTCATAATCCTCATGGAATGCATGAAGAAGAAAGAATTGGTATGCAAACATATTCACTAGACATAAAACTAATATGGGTCTGTTACATGCAAGACATGACACAAGAGCTTACATGGAGAAAGGTAGAGTGGGTAAAGAGTAGGTGGAAATGATTAGTTGTATTGAAGTGAGACAAACTCTAATGTGCAACAAGTGACAAGTAAGAGCTCAGTTACAATGAAGGGTTTTCTCGATTTATTCAGGTTGATTCAAACTTTTCTATAACTCAGCCCTAACAGTTTCAACTGAAACTGTTGCCATTTACACTGAAATGTTTAATTATCTCATTGCAAGACTCCACATTACACCTCCAATAGCTAAAACTTCTCCTTTCTTGTTTTATTTTTGTAAAATAAATCATGACACAGTGTAACATGCCATTTATTGTTTTTCATCTGAAGTTGTATTTACCTATTTTTCAGATCTGCTAAGGACCAGATGGTTTTTATTATGTCCTTTTATGTAAAACCATAGAATTCAAAGAGGGTGTACTTTCTTTTTCTCATGACTGTATATGTACTGATGCTATATTGATAGGAAAATAATCTCCCCTCCATAAGCCTATACACTATGAACTACAAAATTCAATCTACATTGTGCTGATATGAATGGAGAAGCATCTGTTAACTTCAACAGACTCTTATTTTGCCTGTGGAAAGTTATTGCTGGGCAGCCAAAAAGAACCATAATGAGTTTTGGTAAATGATAATATTGCAACTATATTAAGCAAATGTTAGAAATTTTTAAAAATCTAAAGAGAAAACCTCTCCTTACAAGTCACACCCTTGACATTCAAGCAACTACGCCTAAAGAGAAAGCTCTCCTTACAAGTCACACCCTTGACATTCAAGCAACTACGCCTAAGTGGTGACAACATGACTATGGCTTGGCCTTGGGCTAGTGAGCAGTTTCTCTCTCTTTTTTTTTCTCTAGTGCTGCTGGCTCTAGTTGAATTAAAAGCATCACTCTGTAAAATTAGTTATGGTCATATAAGGACAGGAATTCTGATGGCAGATGCTTGCCAGCTAGTGTTCAGAGAATCTCAGGAGCACACATCCATATTAAGGAAGCAAAGGAAACCATTTAATTAGTTTGTAGCTAATGGGAAACAAGAAAATCCCATCTCTACTTGGCATGCATAAAACAAGCCTTCCCTCTTAGCTTTTTATTTACTCTCTGTGCCAAGAACAGAGCACTACAGTTCTCATGATGGTGCAGATTTGTACCATCTAGATGGAAAACTGAATTCTAAAGTGAAAACCTAATCACGAGTTCCTGCTGTTACTTGAAATATGTTTTACAACTAGCAAGAATGTTTGAGAACAGAGACAAACAACAATTGTTGTGCATTAGTTCTTCTCATGCTGACAAGAGACAATATGCATCTTGTCACAATGACAAGAGGTCATACAAGAGGAAATCAATTTTAACCATTGTTTTATTTATAATAACTTCCTTCAGTTGACTCAAAAATGTAACATTGTTAGAAGGCTTGCTTCCTTAAGTGCTTAAAGATATCTGCTTGTCACTGCACATATTTTCACTCACCTTGGTATCTTGCATTCCAGCAAGTTTCACTTTAGGACCGGTTATTGGAAATTAAACACAAGCTTAAATGGCTGGTCTGATTATCTGGATCTCTATTTCTGAGGAAATAACATGGGAGGAAAAGCAGGCCATTGGCTACTGAGTGTGAATTCAGAATCTTGCACCTCAAGGATATAGTATTGTAATTAATAGCAAACAAGGAAGGGTGATTTTCAGCCACAAGAGACAAGCAGAAAGGTTTAATTCTTCCTGCACCAGCCACAATCCAAATTAAAACTACCCTTCATTGTTTCTGTTACCTCCAGTATTGGAGGGCTTTCTGTCTTACAAAGAAGGGTCTCTCTCCAATGGCTTTGAATTGTAGCTCATTGGTACCATTGCAGGTTGAAGGTGGGTCTGAAGCTGAGACAGAGTCATTCATACAAATACTGTATTAAGGATCTGTGTTATTAAATCCACATATGTTGTGGGAAGGAGGTGCTAAGAGAAAGTGAATGTTATTAAACCTACCCCTAGAGCATTTGTTTAGTTTTTTCTCTATAGCTTTTTTTAGATCCTGCCTGCCCAGCGATTTAAGAACCTGAGAAAATTCAATTTGTTTGCAGAGGATTTCTTTACCCATCATATTTGAGGAGAGAATTTACCCATTTCTTTCTCCGTTTAAAATAATACTCTGGACATTGGCTTTTTTTAAATCTGTGTTAAGTGTTTGCTTGGTGAGTGGGTAGGTATGGGGTGTACATATACCTCAGAACATGTCCGTTCCCCCACAAAGGTCCCAAGACTCCCATGGGATCTGTTTCATTGTAGAGAAGCATTTAGGGGCCAGGGGCCAATTCCAATAATTGTCATCGCCAGTGAAATAATTCAGTCAGCAGTGCTTTTTAGTCATTACAGATGTATCCTTCCTGCACCACAGCTCTCAACAGCTTCCTAAAAATGAAAGGGATTCCATGACTGCCTTGGGGCCTTCAGGGAAGAAATCAGAAATGTTTCATTTGCGGAAAAAAAATCTGCAGCTAATGATGTCATCAGTCTTACATGGTGCAGCTGCATAAACAGGATTTCAGCTTCTCTTCATCCAAAAAAAAAACCTTTCCTGACACTTTTCCAGTCAAAATGGACAGGGGGTTGGGGAGAACGTGGAAAATCTCATTTATAAATTCATATCTCAGATATATTATGTGTGCTTCTTTGAAATTCCAAGCATTTGCAAAGCTCCACTGGCTGGCTTGTCCCTACTCACATTTGCTAATAAAATGAAACTTTGTAAACAGCCCATAGATTCAAGTTATTTATCTGCCCACCCCATTGCCACTGTTTCCTTCTGCCCTTCACAATGACTCTATTGACAAAGCTTATCTTGTTCAGACATTTCCACTGAATCAATATACCAGATCTTATCATATACCAAGTAACTTTTTGAAGATGCTGGGTAACCTTAATATCTATGGAAAAAGAGATTCTTGTCAAATGATATGCTATGCATAAATTCAGTGATGGTCCTAGAAAAGGGAGAGCACATGAGAGAGAGAAATGCAGAAGGGGAGGTAGTTGCTTTATTTTTGATGCAAGATTGTAAGGGTTTGTTTCTCCCCCTCTAAATAGATGTCAACATTTAATAGAAACATAATTTAAATCCTGTTTGTGTAAGTTACGCTCTGGAAGGCAATCAATGTCATCAACTGGCAATCAATGTCATCAACTGGGACTTATGTTTGGAAATTGAACTTCCTAAACTTCCTACTTCTCTTCGTCTCTTCTCATAGCCACATTGGAGAAGGAGAGGAGAAGCAGATGATGCTGGAGCTTATTCGCATAACATTATAATACATTTTAATGTTACAGAGAAACTAGACCATGGAGTCATTTCCCAATAGTCTAGTCCACTCTTGGCTGGTAACAGCCTTCAGTGACTCAGGCTGAGTTTCTCCCAACGATACTGCATGAGTTTCTTTCAACTGAGGATGTCAATATGATTCAACCAGTGACCTTTTCCATGCAAAGAATGTGCTTGTAACACTGAGTTAGGGGATTTGTTTGAGCTGTTTGTTCTACATTGATGTCTAGAACCTAGATACAGTGGTGCCTCGATAGACGATGATAATCCGTTCCACTGAAATCGCTGTTTAGCGAAATCATCGTCTAGCGAAAAGCATTTCCCCATTGGAATGCATTGAAACCTGTTTAATGCGTTCCAATGGGGAAGAATTGTCATTGTCTAGCGTAGATCGGCCATAGGAAAGCCGCTTTGCGAACTGCTGATCAGATGCTTAAATCGCTGTCTTGCGAAGCTTAGGTCCCAAAAACACCTGTTTTGCGAGCGCGGAGGGAGCTGTCAAAATCATCGTCTAGCGAAAATTGGTTTGCAAAGCAAGGACCAAACATTGTCCAGTGAAATTCCCCCATAGGAATCATTGTTTTGCAAATCACTATAGCGATCACAAAAATTCAATATCTAGCGAAAAAACTGTCATGCGGGGTAACTGTCTAGTGAGGCACCACTGTAATAGCTTTCTTTCCTCTTTTGTTTCATCTGTCTAAAGCAAAGTTGGAAGCATATGAAATATTCTAGAAATAGATGTCTTTTGTCCACTCACCATAGACTATTCAACTTGGGAAACATGAAGGTTGTTGTTTTGGGTCAATTTGAAGTTTCCTATAACTAAATTATTGTTGTTGTTCACATGGAATGCTTAATTATTCAGGGCAATTTTCGGGGAAGATGCCACATCACACCTCAGTTTGCTAGAATTCTCACCAAAATCACATGCCCTTCAGTGGAGTGTGGTATGCCAGTACAGTGGGAACATCCCCCTCACATAGGCACCTTTTGTCTCCCTTCCAACCAATTTTTAATTATCCTTGACAAACATAGCACTGTGTTAGACAGGCACTGCAGTTTCACAAGCTGTTATATCAATTCAGCACTATGTCACTTGTAATTAAAAAAGAAAAGGAGCACAGCAACATCACTATAGGACACACCATCTGCTAACCCCCAACATAGGTGATTATATCAGAAACAAAACAAAGAAACAAACAAAACAGTGTAAGTGCAATCACTACAAAACAAACAAACAAAAACAAGACACTAGCCCATGCTGACTGAATAAAAAGCAATGAATGCCCATGAAGAAGGACTGGGCTTACTTGCAATTAGCTGTGTATTGAGTGTGTGTTGTGTGCCATCATGTGAGAACCAACTTCTAGCAACCCTAATAGGGCTTGAAGGTAAGTGAGACTGTTTTTCAATTTCTTTAAGTTTGGATTGAGTAGTGTAATGTATGTCTATTAATAGAAATAAAATAAAATAAAAAGAAGGTAAGTGAAATATTTAAGGGGTGGTTTTACCACTTCTACAGTTCTAAACGTGCGCACGCGTGCGCATACACACACACACACACACACACACACACACACAAAAGTTTCTGTGACTGAGTGCAAATTCA